AGTTTCATAAATTAGTTTTCTTTACAGAATAGGATATATCTTTATTTATAAAATAGGAATGTTGGGGCATTATTGCCTACTATGTCAGTTTTGGAGCCCATTTTGTCAAACGTTCATTTTTGCATAACTTATGAAAAACTTAATTATTGAAAAATTGCTTATACTATCTGATAGAAGACACTTTTTAGTTTGTATTTATGTTTTTGAAGTTGTATTTTTACCTTTTGTTTAAGAAATATTGTCTAAAAACAAAGTAGTATGTCGGTATCGGTGCCCTTCCTCTACTAATATTATTATACCATTAGCAGTAATAATCATAATCTTAGTAACATGTAATTATAGTTACAAATTAACAAATTTTTCTTTCAGTGTAGTAACAATTCATAGGAAGCGCAAAAAAACAAACAATAACAAAGAACGCAGTCGTTCAATTTCGCGGGTATCTTATGAACTGCGATGTCTTGTAGACTGGTCCAGGCTGCGTCAAATTGGAATCAATACAGCTCATAAAGTAATCATGTGATTCATTAAGGATTACTTTACGAGCTGTAAATAACATTAAGGAATCGTAAAGTTGCGATCGTTAAATAAACGCTCACAACACGTTCGCAACCGGCGAACAGTTATTCCGTAAACTACGTTTGCACGAAGTTCCCTCTTTTTAACAGCAGCCTCGACACGTACGTACCATTCGCATCAAGGTTGGAAGAGGATTCTACACGATGCCAAGAACATTTTCCGCCCGCATCCCGGCCCGGTGCATGCATATGCATTCACGTACGACACATTGTCGCACGTCGAAGAGGAATCCGCCATTGGCTCGCGGTAAGTTATTCGCTTTCGGCGATCGCCTAAGAATACTTTATTTCTCCTATTTCAACCATTTCAATTTCGAAAAGATAATTCAGGTGCACAAGGAAAGTTTAATTTCGTAATTTAATAAAATCTGAAACACTTTTTCAAGAACAACCTAAACTTGTTAAAATTTCAAAGATTAGTTCCATAAAAAAATATCGCCTCCGAATTTTCGACAAAAGATTCATTATTAAAATACTATTATATTATATAATATATTTGGAAATATCCGAGGACATATCCTATGGAAAAATAGGTACACAAAAAAAATATTATATCAACAGCGTTAGTCAATAGCAGTTTAACTAAAAATAATTGCGTTTATTCAATAATAGTATTAATACTATTAATGAAACAAATAAGATTTTATTAAAACACAGCGTATTTTGTTTCATTAATACTGTCATTGATGTAACAAGATTATTTTCAACTAGACTACTGTCGGATAATATTGTTAATACATCATTTTTTCTATGTATAGGTATAGGTAAGCTAAAAAAGTAATCAACACTTTGTTTGGTAAAACTTGATAGATTAATTAGATCGTTATTAATATGGCGTGCAATAAGTTCAATGAGTTGTGAAGGAGCCTGTTCTTTCTTGGTTACTTTCTCTTTAATAACCGAATCGCGTTCGGAAAGCCGTAACGAGGCGTCGTGAAAGATTCCAAGTAGTCGTTTGTCATTACTAAGAGCCACAGTCCATTAATTTCAACTCGCGAAGCCCGCGATGCGATAGTTTCGATATTTTTTTAACGCCTTGGCGTGTCGATAAGCATATGTTAACGATCTAAGGATGCCGTCACATACAGCCCATAATCCGTAATCCGCACCGGATGTCCGCAAAAGTTACTGGCTACGTTTACACCGTGCATTTAGGCCGCGGCCTATACAATAGATGTCTGTTTATCCTAAATATTAAACAAAGACACCTATCGTATAGGTCGCGGACTAAGCGGTGTAAACGTAGCCATTAAGGATTGCGTCCGTAACGTTACGTGTGTTTTATCTCTGTTTCCCATGGAGCCGTAATCCTATGAATTTTCCGTAAAAGTTACTAGTTATTACCAGTAATGGTTTTCCTAATTTTATCTATTTGACTAAATTTGACGATTTAATTCAAACTTTTGTTATAATCAAAATATATTCTGTAATTTTCTTATAAAATAAAATAAAAATGAACAGTATAACTTGTTAAATAAAAAATATTACATTTATACGGTCCGCACATTTTTCGGCTCCATGGGACACAAAAAGCATGTAAGCACGCAATTGCACTCCGACGTCAAACAAAAATAAACGTGCCATAACCTACCTTTAATTTATAAATAGTGATTGATTAATTTGTTTGACAACAATTTTGAAATTAGAAGTGCATAATAAATCTTTGATATATGTTATTAGTGATGATGCAAATACAACAAATGGTCTGTTTTCTGACGTGCACTAGACTGCACTAGAACTCTCTTTTCACGCAGTTGCGGATTACGTGAGAATCCCTAGATTATTTCGCAATCCCTAGATACTTTTGCGAACATCGCGATTACGGATTGCGGACTGTATGTGACGGCACCCTAAGACGAGACACAATCGTCGTGGAAAAAAAGCTCAGCCGCCGAAAGATCGGTATGCCGATCGCGTCAACGTTCATTTGTCGCACTCATCGCGTTTGACTGCCAATAGAAAGTGCGGTCGCGCGACTAATTTGCACTCACAAAGGAGATCTCGCGAAGATTCATCGATCGAGACACGTGCACGCAGCTACGCGCTTCCGCCTTTCTAAGCGCATGCAAATTGATCGATTTGATCGAGACGACGCGGCCCGACAAAATGAGCGCCGCGCATTTCTAAACACCATGGGAAACTGACCCGCGTCTATTATCAGACGTATTTAATTGCTGTGCACGTCAAAGATGCTTCTACGAATCGTAGAAGTAGCATTTAGAAAGCTAATGAGTTTCGAGTGGAATTAATAAAGTCTGACGATCCGAGTAAAAAATCAATTGGTATTTAATTTAGATAGCGAAATCCAGTTGCATTTGTGTATTTATACAGATGCATTCTTCAACAAATCTACTAAGAATAATGAGAATATAAAAGTAAAATTTTACTGTATAACTGTAGAGTCATGGTTAACCCCGCAAACACAATAGAATAGTAAGTCTTAAGCCTTAAGAAATTGATCAATCATAGTTGAATATGAAAAGAATAGTAGACTATGATTGGTCAATTCCTTAAGGCTTAAGGCTTATTACTCTATTGTGTTTGCGGAGTAAATCGTATATATTCTTACAGAATTTTTACTAATTTAATACTGATTAATTTTGTAATTCATCGATATTTAATGAAAAACGAGTTATATACATATATCATCGTATAAGTGTAATAATTACCGTATAAGTGAATAACCAAAAAAATTTTTTACGTAAATTTATAAGTAGACTTTAACAAGCCATTCTTCCGGAAATACAAATTCGAAATCAAATTTTCGAATCTGCGGGATTTACAGAGAATTCTGCCAGGACGTTTTGCCGCGAAGCGAATAGAGGATGCGCAAGAGTACTTTCACAGAAGCAACCGAGTGCAAAGGTCGTTCTTCATCGGCAAAGCTGAGACGAGCAACAAAGTTCAAGCATTCACCGTCATTGCAATGATCGCCGGAGAGTACATCTCGTGCGAGAATGAAAGAGAGAACTGAGAGAAAAAGAGAAATAAGGATGCAATAACGGTGAAATGTCTTGTAGATGCTCCTTTCACCCTCTCTCTCCCGTATTATTATATTTTTATACAGATATAATTTTTCCTATCATAAAATACTGTGAAGAAGATATAATCGGTCGTGAGAAACCAATTACTATTATTTTACTAATGCGAGAATGATAGGAAAGAAAACACATTATGATTTTTTATACAAGCACAATAGTATTGCGTTGTTATTATTATAAATCTATACTTCACCATTTTATATACATTAAATTATCGTGTATATATATATATATATATATATATA